CATATCTTCTCATACAACTGAGAACGGATGATAGCTAATCCCTCTCTTTCTGCTTTTCCGGACTTCTTTGAACATCGCCTGTTCTTGTTCCAATTTATTTTCTTTTTCCCTTGTTTAACCCAAGTGATTTTGCTCAGGAGTTGTCAGTTCCCATAATTTAAGAAGCTGTCCCCTTAGACAGGGACATTCTCTCTCTTCCCTCCACCTCCCCCAGTATTTTGCATATAAAATCCTTGCCACTAAAAGCATATGAAATAATAATTTCTCTCTGTGTCTTTGGGAACCATGACTTTGAGACAGCGAATGCCTCTTTACAGCCTTTAATGACATTCTCATACAAGGAGAAATGTGAACATTTTCAAAACTTGAAATCCTGATGAATGCTGGGATTTCCATGAGTCAGCCCACACAGTTCATAAGAAGGCTGGGCCTACTCAGTGCCAGTGGCAGCTGCCCATTGGGAATGACTGGGCAGAAGGCTGGTAGGCCAACAGTAGGGGGTGCCAGAGCTATAATAATAATAATAATAATAATAATAATAATAATAATATATTATTTATACCCCACCCATCTCTTCCAGCAAAATACCCTAAACACGGTTGCCTTCAGATGTCTTCTAAAAGTCTGGTAGTTGTTGTTCTCTTTGACATCTGGTGGGAGGGCGTTCCACAGGGGGGGTGCCGCTATCGAGAAGGCCCTCTGCCTGGTTCCCTGTAACTTGGCTGCTCACAGTGAGGGAACTGCCAGAAGGCCCTTGGTTCTGGACCTCAGTGTCCGGGTAGAACGATGGAGGTGGAGACACTCCTTCAGATATACTGAACTGAGGCCGTTTAGGGCTTTAAAGGTCAGCACCAACACTTTGAATTGTGTCCGGAAACGTACTGGGAGCCAATGTAGGTCTTTCAGGACTGGTGTTATGTGGTCTCGGCGGCCACTCCCAGTCACCAGTCTAGCTGCCGCATTCTGGATTAGTTATAGTTTCCAGGTCACAATGACAAGTGGAACGAGTTAATTCTTGTCCCCCATCGTCTTCCCTGCTGAATTCTAATCCCATACTGTTTTATACCACAGAGGTTCTGGTTTATTTTTCTCTCACTTTTGTTGTGCTATAGCCCTTCCAGACAGCGATAATTTAGTAGCATTGGGGAAAGATCACAGAACAACGAAGAAAGCAGAATAAATCCACCGCTAAGGCAGCATTATTGTGTAAATGAAATATTGCAGAACACATGAACAATAAAACACCAGTGGCTAAAGACTTACTTAATACTATGTGCTTCAAGAAGAACTGTCCAATTGCTTCCTACTGAAGCAGCACACAGAACAACAAGGTGTTGCAAATTCATTTATTGCCACAATGCGCAGAGAGAAGGTACATTGTGGGATGCAGAGGAAGGCTGTGCGCACACCATACATTTAAAGCACATGGTTCCCCCAAATAATACTGGGAACTGTAGTTTACCTCACAGAGCTACAGTTCCCAGCACCCTTAACAAACGACAGTTTCCATTATTCTTTGGGAAAGTCGTGTGCTTTAACTGTATGTTTTAAGTTGAATAATGTATAAAAGATGCATAAAAAAGCATTATTATATGAAGTGAGAGAGGGAAGGGGGTTTCAGAGAGATCTGTGATGGATCAGAGAAATGAGACTGCCTGCTCTAGGGTGCTGTGGCAAACAAGAAGTTAACAAAGCATGGGATAATGAGTTTAAAATGATAATAAAAATGCTTTCTGGTGATTAATGCAGTGGTGCAGCCCCCTTGAGTTAATATTGTTTTAATGGCCTTTGGAGTGATTTGAGTTGCGCACCCCTGGTGTACAGCACATTCCTCAGCATGCCACATGAGCAAGGAGAACAAAGGGAATTCTTATAATAAAAATAAATAAAAAAGATTCACCCAAATAGCCGGGAGGTCAGCAACTAACCTGTGGCAACTGTTCGCTCCCATATATGGGAAACTGCGCATTGCAAAATCCCATTATTAGCTTATTTCCTGTCCAGCAGTTCCAAAATTCACTCGCTCAGGCTTGGATCTAGGAAACACCCGGTCATAAAGTTGAACTAAAGCACTATCGTTTGCTCCTAAAGAGTTATATTTTCGCCGGAGAGCCTCCGTTTGATTCAGAGGCAGACAGGGACTTGGCCAGGGGAGTGGCTGGCAGGCTCAAGGCTGCCCCCTGCTGGGGAAGCCCCTGTGGGGATGGGGATGTTTCTGCAGATGTGGCCAAGGGGCCTCGAGGAATTGATGGCCTCATTGCATCCAGCTCCCATTCCAGATGTGGCCAACGAAGATGTGAGGGGATGAGATGGAACGTGCTCATAAGGCTTTCTTTGCCGACTGGAGAGTACGCCCCAATTTCATGGCGATCATTGGCTAATAGTCATGATGGCTATATATTACCTCAGGTGGCACAGGACTCTGAATGCTGGAGAACATGATGGGATAAGGCTACTGCATTCCTGCCCTGCCTGTGAGCAACCCACAGGCATCTGGTTGGCCACTGTGGCTTTATTGTCTTCCTATGTGGGGCTGCTGAAAGGAGAAACGTGTTCCAAGTCACCACAATCCTTATTTTGAAGTGCTACTCGGAGCCGCTGCTTTGTCTCTGGTTGGTAGGCCTCAGGGCTCTTGTTCGAAACAAAACAAAGTGGATCCAGCGACTCTGAAGAAAGGCCGGCCCTACCATTTGGCAGTTGTGTAGCAGCGACCTCAGGCAGCAGATGTTGGGTGTCTTGGAAAGGCTCCCCTTGGGCCTGTTCCAGAGTCTCCAGCTGCTACAAGATGCTGTGGTGAGACTGTCAATGGAGGAAGATTGGCGCCAGCACGTAACTCTGGTGATCAAAAGTCTGCACTGGCTGCCCGTACACTGTTGAACCAGGTTAAAAATATATGAACAGTGGTACCTCAGGTTACAGACACTTCAGGTTACAGACTCCACTAACCCAGAAATAGTACCTCGGGTTAAGAACTTTGCTTCAGGATGAGAACAGAAATGGTGTTCCGGCGGCACAGCAGCAGCGGGAAGCCCCATTAGCTAAAGTGGTGCTTCAGGTTAAGAACAGTTTCAGGTTAAGAACAGACCTCCGGAACGAATTAAGTACTTAACCCGAGGTACCACTGCATGCCCTCCAGCATCTTGAGTCCCAACCACACGAGATCCCAGAGCCCAAAAGACATACATATTCAGGTTGTGCTCCCACGGCACCCAAAAACACACATTTTGGGGTGCCATGCGAGATCGTGGCCCCGAAAAAAGCACTTCCGCCCCCCCCCCGAGAAGCGCTTTCTTCTGGGTGAGACCTCAGCACAAAATCCTGCAATATCGCAGCACCCAAAATGGCCGCCGTGCTGTCCTGTGAGAAAACGGGATGTCCCGTTTTTCCCAGGACACTTGACAACTTGGGTCCAGAATATGTCAAGGATTGCCTGATCTCTTATAGCCCTGCCTGATCACTGAGATCTTGTGAGGAGTGACTGTTAGTGGATCCCCCATGACACAGATGCACAGCTCGGATCCAACAGTAGTTGCACACTCAATACTGTGGGCCCAATTTATGGCCAGGTGTGCCCCCCCCCTTTGAACCTCCAGCACTTCTGGATAATCTTTCACCTTATTTCCAGCAGGTTTTTAAAACTGAATTCTGATTTTAGAGTTTTAACTCATTTTAAGTCGTATTGCATCGGGTCTCCTTTGATTAAGCGATATAAAAATTGTCGAAGTAGACAGTAACATAGAAGGCATAAATAAAAGGCACGCGACTGTTGGTCACAGAGAGCATTGTTGTATTTTTACCAGCAGGGAAGGAGAAAACTGCCTCTGAGGTTTTCTGCTGAGGGTTAGCAGCTAAGGATACTATGGGAGTGCGCAGGACGAAGCACTATTTGTTTTACCTCAGGCGAGAAGATGCCTTGGGCTGGCCTTGGCCTGAACTCTGCCCAAACTTGCTCCAGAATCTTCTGCAGTGCGGAAACGCAGGGCTTCCTCAGCTGAGACAACCCTTTGTAAACAAAATTCTCTGAAAGTCTGAAAACCGCTAGGCAAACATTGGCGTAGGAGCTTATGGCTCCATGGCTGAGTTCTCTGTGAAGGAATGGTATATCTTTTGTGAGAGCAATGCCCTTGTTCAGTGTTTCTTTCTTTTCATACATATATTTTTTTGAAAGCTGACGTCTTTAGCTCATGGGGGGGGGAGGTAGGGAAGTGCCTGTCACAAATTCATAATTTAAAAACCATTATAATCCGTAGATTAAGGCTTGACAGACCCGACAGGTGTTCTGCATTTTCCTTGCTCTGCTGAACTTTTATTACCCAAGACAAAGGACGTGCCTCAAGGCACCCAACACCCTCAACTGAGCCCACAAGGAGAGCACCTCACAGGAGGTGGGGTGGAGCAGGAGCAGTCAAAGCCGCATGTTTATTTGTTCTTTTGTTTATTTATTACCTCTGTTTATTATTATCCCGCCTTCTGAGCCAAAGGATTTTCGGAACAGCATGTGAAGATGATGTTGAGAAGGGCAAACAATGTCAAACACATTTTAAAGGCTGCAGTTCCAACAATCCCGGGATAAAAACCAAAAGAGCCCAGATTCGAAGGAGACAGAGGGCTCTATTTCAACCTTCGACTCATTTGTGCAAGGGAAATTGGAGGGGGGGCGCTGAGGGTGAACCCCACACCCAAGCATCTTTACAGCCCCCCAAAAGCTGACGGGAAACTGCTAAATCAGGCAGCCTCCTGGACCTGTGAAGGCTCCCAGTGCAATTTACAACCCTGCATATGTATTATTATTTAGAAGAATTATATACCGCTTAATGAAAAAGGTGGGGTACAGAGTCAATAAAAATGAAATAAATAAAATTGAGTGGAAAAGTGCTGACGCCTCCTAGTTAGCCAATCTCAGAATAAAATACGGGACCTAATAAGCTGCTGATCAGATCCTGCAAGGCTCGCTGTACATTCTTATGTTCTCTCCCCTCTGTGGACCTCAGGACCAAACAGCCTGGATAGCTCAGTTGGTTAGAGTGTGGTGCTGCTAACGCCAAGGTTGCAGGTTCAATCCTGTAAGGGATATGTCATAGGCCAGGGATCAGCTTCACCTGTTGAGCAGCAGCCTGAAGGAGCAGGAAGCAGATCAGCCTTCTTGCTCCTGATAAAAACCAGCTGGCTCCAGCTTTCTTTTGCTGGGTTTCCAGCCTCAGTCAGTTGCTGGAAACAACATTTGTCGTTCCTGGCCAGACCTTGCTGCTTCTTGCGACCTTGGACTCTCAGCTTCCTTGACCCCTGGACTGTCTGACTGCGTGAACTGAGATACTCCTGACCTTAGGACTGGACTGAACCTGGCATATGGACTCTGCCCCCAGGCAAGTACCCCCCTGAGACGTGGCTGGTTGGCTGGCCTCACCCACCACTGAGCTCTGCTGTGACTGAGCAGCGTGGGCCTACAACAGGATAGCTGCATATTCCTGCAGTGCAGGGAGTCAGATGAAATGTTCCTCATGTTCCCTCCCAACTCTGTAATTCTATGATCTAGGAAACTACCATCCTGGTGTGCAGAGCTCTGCTGGTCCATTCTGCCTGGCTTCATACTGTAATCAGAAAACCTTCCCAAAGTCCCTGCGAGGAGGAAGAGAGGTTAAGTGCAGGAATTGCTGAGTGCTTTTTTGATACCGTGCTCTACCACGATACATCAAATTCTAAGCAAAAAAAGAAAAAGGTACAAGCATGTAATGTTAAGGTTCGTGTTAGCTAGATGAGCAAAAAGAAGATGGGAGAATTTGTTCAGACACGAAAGTTTTATCTACTGGATAATGACCAAAAATACCCCAGCTGCCTTCTCTAAGAAAATCAAATTTTAGAAGATTTTTCTTTTTTTTTAATGGCTGTGGCTATCAAAGACTTGCTGCAGGTTTTAACATGCAGAGAGCCCTGAAAGCTACTGAAGTTTCTTCTAGAGTTATAAATACCATCTCTGTCTTGTAATGCATATAGTCATTCATACTTATGCAAAGAGGACTGGAAGACTCTGTGTACAGCAAGTGTGTAAATGATGGCACATTAGCTCACCTGGAGAGGTATTTTGGCATCAGTTCCAGAAGGCTCACGACACATTTCTCCTGAGTAAGACTTTTAAATCCCAGTATCACTTCTTACTAAGAAATCCCAGCAGTTCCAGGCCTCCCATGTGTTTGCCTACACTCGGTTAAGTAAATATTGCTGATGCTCCTTTTCAAAAGCTTCCTCCGGGTCTTTCATGCTGAACACTACAAAGTAGGAAACGGCCCTCCTCCTTGTCTTTGTCTGTAATAAGCTGGCTGCCGATGTCTTCAAATGATAACAACCAGCTCTGAGCAAACATCACAGGCACCCTTCACAGCAAGGAGGACAATGGACGTTGCCACCCCACAAACCACTTAATCCTGAACTTTTGTACTCGACGCTGCCTTACTCCTTTGGGCTCAAACCTGAGGGCGGTTCACCCAGGTAGATACGTCACTTTGTTCCTGGATTGTTAAACAGTCATACCTCATGTTACGTTTGCTTCATGTTACATTCTTCCAGGTTACGTCTCGCGGCGACCCGGAAGTACCGGAAAGAGTTACTTCCGGGTTTCGCCGCTCGTGCATGCGCAGAAGCGCTAAATCATGTTTCGCACATGTGCACAAGCACCAAATCGCGCCGCGGACCTGCACAGATATGGCGCTTCAGGTTGTGCTCTTTTCATGTTGCGAATGGGCCTCCAGAACGGATCCCGTTCGCAACCAGAGGTGCCACTGTATTCACTTATGGGTGGCATCTGAATGCACGAATTTTATACACTGAAAAGTGTTGTTTGAGGGGATGGAAAAGCTGTGTGTGTGTGTGTGTGTGTGTGTGTGTGTGTGGTTTGTTTCATGATGGCCTATTCGCATAGCCTGAGGATTAAATTCAGCCCTGAATGACTTGGGACCAGGTTACCTGAAAGACTGCCTCTTCCACCTGACCCAATGCTTAAGAACCTCTTTGGATGCCATGTGCTGGGTGCTCCCTCTGAATGAAGTGAGGTGGGTAAACACCACAGAGTGGGCCTTTCTACTCTTAGCATCTGCTTATGGAGCAGCCTTCCAAAACAGGCTGGCCTGATGCCATCTTTGTACTCTTTTGGTACCAGGCTAATATATTTTTGTTTATCCGGGCATTTTAGAAAAACTGACTTAATCTGGGCCTCATGGCTGTCTTTAAATTGTTGTTTTAACTGTGGACCAATCAGCGCTACACATTTAAAACAGTATTATACCACTTTAAGCAGTACCCTTAACAAACTACAACTCCCATAATTCTTGGGGGGGGGAACATGAGTGTTTAAATTAGTACCATAGCACTTTTTAATATATATATTTTTATTGGGGGAAAATACAAAGTTACAAGTGCACAGAGTGAAATAAGGCACAAAAAGAAACAAGAAATGCAGAACCCATGCAGAAAACAAAACAGAACAAAAAGGATATTCTGTACATTGCAAAAAAAGGGGGGGGAATTGTTACTGTAGTGAACCAGACCTTAACCTAATGTGGTATTTATAAAAATGAAATGGAATTCATCGTAGTGTTTTAAATGCATGGTGTGAATGGAGCCCTGGTCAACAGAGCAGCACCTTCTGATTGATGCGCTTCTGCTTTCAACTCCTCCCTCTCCCAGTTTCACCACCGCCCTCTCCTTGTTTCAGTCCAGGGTCCACATTCATTTGCGTGCCCTTCCCAAGGACCACATGCCCATGGCGGACTGGGCCAGAGGCAAAATCAGGAAGAGCAATGTACAGAAGTTTTACCTCAGTACAGGCAGTTTCTATGCGCACTCGCACACCCCTCTCATCCGAACCCCTGGGCCATCTGAAGACAATCATGTATAGGTATTTTTTTAAAAAAATGTTTTATTCTGTTTATATAGATATATTGGAAGCTGCCCAGAGTGACTGGGGCAACCCAGTAAGATGTGGGGGGTAGAAATAGTAAGAATTATCATTATGGAATGGGAGGTCCCTATTTTCATCAGAGAAATGTTGGAGGATATGCTCTCTATCCAGGGAACCTAGAGGCATCATGGGAGTCCAATAATGCATTCCTGTCAAGGGGGAAAACTCAAGGAAGGAGTGAATCGGAGCCAGTAGGTGGTGTGACTGGAAAAGGCGAGTGGCCTGAGGAGAGCCCAGAGGTCTGGGAGGCAGCAATTGGCCCTGGGCCTGAGGTTCCCCAGCACTGCTCCCCGGTCCTAGATTTAGGTGTGGCTCCCCACAGCCCCCACTAGGCCCCCGCACTGCTGTATATGCTGAATACCAGCTACGTAATTCGCACTTTGTACTAGGATCAATGAAGGCCTTCCAAAGCAGTTTCAAAAATTGCTTGTGATGGGAGTCTTGCTTTCCTTATGAAATGGCGGGCGTTGATGAGCCCAATTTATTCGTTAGTCTCAATCAGCTTCAGGGTGTGTGTATCTCCTGCTTATCTGTCCCCAAGAGCTTAGAAGCAGCGGATTTTGGGCTCTCAAATGTCATGGCGCCCTGGGCAATGCTAAAATTCAGCACCCCCTGCCTCTCTCGCTCCGTTCTGCAGCGATGTTTCGGCGCCCCCAGCAGCATGGCGTCAGGTGCGGCCACAGCAGTAGCGCCACCCTAAAAACGCCTCTGCACTTAGTTCCACATCTGCATGCGTGAAGGAGCTGAGGAATGTATGCAGGCCCTGGTGAGCACATGTTTACCTCGTGACGACCTGCAGCACTGTTGCAGCAGCGCGCTGACCAAAAAGCGAGAGCCTGTTTTACTCTAACAACATTGTTCGGATAACCTATTTTCCCCTTCCCTCCCCGCCCCAGATGGCAAATCCATTGAATGTTTTGTTGTTTTAATTGGTAGCAGTTGTACAGCACCCAAATTGAATGGAGCACCTCCTTTTTTCAGAGGTTTAGCACTTCACACACAGGAGTCGGCTCAGACAGATGCAGGCCTCTGGGCCTGACTGCCAGATTTTGCTGTCTGCCTTCCTTTTTGTTGTTTTCAAATGATAAAGCAGCTGAGCGGCTCAGCCAGGACACTTCCCCACCTGCCAGGATTTTACTGGCTGGACCAGAATTTCATCCTCATGCATAGCTGCCAGAACAGAAGGATGGAAAGCCAGAAAAGTCTATGCTCAGTGCTTTCATTATAAACTTCTAGAAGCTGTGCTTTAAATATTTTTTTTTAAAAAATAGCACTCTTGGGTACACTCCGCACATGTTTGGAGACAGCCCTAACAGATTAGTCAGCTGATTAAAGAAATTTAAAGCTGCAGTCTTTGATATGAGCTCTATTGAACACATTCGGACTGAGGCCCAAACTACATGCTGCATAGCTTTATGGCTAGGGGCCTGATCCAGATCAGGAGCCAAGCATAAGCAAATAAGAATAGCCTTGCTGGATCAGGCTGATCCAGGATTCTGTTCTCACGGTGGCCAACCAAATGGCTGTGGGTAAACCAGCAAGCAGAACCTAATACAAAGAGACTTTAAGCCTTTACCACCACTGACACCCCCGTCCACTGTAGTCCCAGTCCACACAGGGAACGTCTCTGCGTCCCCTTCACATTAGCAGCTTTACAGCAACTTCTTTTCCTAAGCCTTATTGTGATTACAGATGAATGCAGAATTTCTATTCATATATATATATATATATAGGCGGATCTACTTAATTCACACCATCTGAAATAATACCCAAGCTGAAACATAGCCATGTTTTGAAATTTGCACTCCTCTGAATTTTGCAATGTACAAAGATGCATTTTCTAGTGCAAAGTGTGCATAAAAATGCATCATGTATTGGTGAAAACGGCATACGAGAATGCATTGTAGACAGGGAAATTGCACTGCAAAAATGTGTCTGTTGGGCAGAACTGCAGACAAAGATGTGTACGTTATTAGAAAACAGCACGAAAACGCTGCTGAATTTTCATGAGGATTTGTTTCCTAAGATATCACAAAATCATGTTGAAATATGCCGAACTGAACTTAAGCATGGGGAAATGGGGTGTTAAAAAGGCACTGATTTCTGCCCTGCCCATCAGTCACATGCTGCGCTGTGTCTGCTTCACTGCAGTTCAGCTTATCGCAAAAACTACATTATTTGCCTCGCAGTCCACTGTAGTGGAATTTTATGTCGTCAGTTACATAATTAATGACATCGCCATCACCCTATTCCATACCGTTCACTTCAATGCAAGGAAATGCGATGCAAATGGAAGGCAGGGGACAGTCATCAATTGTATATTGCTTGTGAACTGAAAACAACCGCAAGTCCTGGTTGCACTCTGTTGAAATCCCCACTCAGTCATGGCTGATCATGGGCCGATCACTATCCCTCAGCCTGACCTAGCTCACAGGGTTATTGTGGAGATTAAATGGGGAGAGAGAGAACCATGTACACCACCTTGAGCTCCTTGGAGAAAAAGCTGGGGTACAAAGGCATAGAATCATCAAACAGTATAGTTGGAAGAGACCCCAAGGGTCATCTAGTCCAACCCCCTGCAATGCAGGAATCTTAACTAAAGCATCTATGACAGACGGCCATCCAATCTCTGCTTAAAAGCCTCTAGTGAAGATTAGTCCACCACCTTCCAAGGGAGTCCGTTCCACTATCTCTTACCATCTGCTCTTACCATCAGAAAGTTCTTCCTGGTATTTAGCCGGAATCTCCTTTAATATCCAACTACCCTTCCAATTCAAAACTAAAGGCATGGGTAAATTAGCATGTTGTTGCTTGTTGCCTAAAGACAGACAATGGCACCAGGCTGGCTTCCCTGAGAAGAGCATTCCACAAATGGGGAGCCACCACTGAAAAAGCTCTGAGTATTGAGCAGATGAGAGAAAACCTTTGGATCTGTTAGCTTCGCTGGCATCCCTTCTGATGAATGGTGAGATAAAAACTGCTTGAATAAATTATCACAATATAATATAGTTGCATTATATCTCCTTCATGTCAAGACCAATCTCCAGAGCTAGAGATCCGTGCTTGACAGAAAAGGTATAATTCTTTTACTTGCCTTATATTTTTCATTTTCTTGATCTAATGAAGTAATCCACATGAACACCCGAAATATCCAATTAATTCTGTTTTTACCTCAGCTGTTAACTGATTCCATTTATTTAATTCTTCTTGATAATTAACTCTCTTCTTCAACATTGCTGACAACTTAATGAAGCTCAGTTTTTTCCAGATTTTTCTGATTACCCTGCTTTGTTGGTTGACATGTTCTCTTCTGTGCTTTGGCAAATAACAGCTTTGAAATGGTCAAAACACGTAGGATCTGGATCTCACAGGAATATAGGGGCTGAATTCTTTTTTTTAACAAAATCTAATAAGTAACTCAGCTTGCGAGCTTTCTCTTAAGGTTTCAACCACACAGTTCCCAAACCTCTTTGCTTTAATGCACCCCCACTACTAATGGAAGAAATCTCCCTTTGTTGGATTTGCAAAATCAACACGTTTCATCTCTAACTTTCTTTATGATCCTTGACTTTTGCTTTTTTTGTTGTTTTTGCTGCCACTGCCTGCTTTATACAGTTCTGTTAATCAAACGCTGACAACAATAACCTCCTTTGCAAATATGACTTCAAGCAGGTATGTGGCTCAGACAAGTGCGATCAGGCCTTCTTCTATAAAACAGCTCAGGAAAGAAATGGCCTCTGGCGTTCTAATCTCTCTAAATGTTAACTGCAAAGGAAGGGGGGAAATGCTTTACAATCCTTGCCCCCCCCCACCGCCGCCGCCCACCCCCTTGAGGGCTTGACATAAGGCTGAGCCAAAATTACCCCAGCCAAAATAAGAAAGAAAGAGGGGAAAAATGTATGGCCTTGACATTTTATTTCTGAATGAAACGTTAGGAAAGTCACTGTGCAAATTCCTTTCGGTTAAACCCTGAAGTCCAAGAAGATCAGGGCTAGGAAGCCCCATTAAAAAGGTTATCTGGTCCATTTCTCTGCACTGAAGCAGCACCAAATCCGTCAGAACCAAGTAGACATGATGATCAATGCATCACATGGAAAAGAGGGAAGCATCCTTTTAAAATTGAGAGTAGGCACAAGTAATACCTGTTTTCACCGGGGCTGGAATTCCTGTGGTGTAGAGGATTAATTATCCCCACCGCCCATCATGATGCCAATGAAAATGTCCCCCCCCCCCCCAAAAAAATGAAAATGCACTGTTACATATCTTCCAACATCCCACTGATCAAAACTGGGACACTTGTCTTTTGGTCCTGAGCTGTTCCAGGAGACAGGTGACTCGCTCAAGGTTACCAAAAAAACCTAGCGTCTTTTGGTCCAGCACTCTGGCACCAGCCATCTATTCATGCAAGAACGTGAGACCCAAAAAACAGGGCATCCAATCAGAAGCTGAGATTGTTTCTGTAATTCCAGGATGTCCCGCTTAAATCGGGACGGTTTAGGGGTATGCTGTTAGACCTAACACAGCCACTGTGTACTTCTGAGTTACGAATTTTGTGCTGCATCTATTCCGAGCCTCAAGAAGCAAATCCCTCACTTCCTTTTAACAAAATAAGCAACCTCATAAATTCTCCTATGAGGAAGGGGCATAGCTCCATAGGAGAGAACATGCTTGGCATGCTAAATAAATAAATAGCCCAGGTTTGATCCCTGGTCTTTCCAGGTGAGGCTGGAAAACAATCCTGCCAATCAAAATACTGAACTAGACAGAGCAACAGTCTTTAAAACGCCGAGCTCTGTCTAGAAAGTGAGCCCTAAACTCGGAACAGACCCAATGGGCCTAAGTGAGCCCATTCATTTTAACGGGTCTAGTCTGAATAAAAGGTAAAGGGACCCCTGACCATTAGGTCCAGTCGTGGCCAACTCTGGGGTTGCGATGCTCATCTCGCTTTATTGGCCAAGGGAGCCGGCGTACAGTTTCCGGGTTATGTGGCCAACATTACTAAGCCGCTTCTGGCGAACCAGAGCAGCACACGGAAACGCCGTTTACCTTCCCGCCAGAGTGGTACCTACTTATCTACTTGCACTTTGACGTGCTTTCGAACTGCTAGGTTGGCAGGAACAGGGACCGAGCAACGGGAGCTCACCCCGTCACGGGGATTCAAACCGCCGACCTTCTGATCGGCAAGTCCTAGGCTCTGTGGTTTAACCCACAGTGCCACCCGCATCCTGGTCTGAATAGAGCTAACATTATATCCAACCCAATTGATCCAGACACCTATCTACCAGGAATTGAGTTGCACACTAAAGTTTGCTACTATGATTGGCAAAGGGCTGTAGTTTGGTGGCAGAGCAGCTGCTTTGAATGCAGAAGATCCTGGGTTCAAACCCCCGTCTTTCCAGGTAATGCTGAGAAAGAGATGCCGGAGTGAAACCCTGGAGAGCTGCTTCCTGCCAGTGTTGGAAATACTGAGCTAGATGGGTTCTGACTCGGTATAATATTTCCTTCTGTGAAATCTGCACTCAACTTGGTTCCGCCTCCAATTGTTTCTGCTGGCTGCTTCCAGCAAAGGAAGAATGCAAGGATGTGGCGATGGGGGCAGGGGGTGGAGGAAAGTGATTAAGATGGCAATAAACTAAGGCCTATTGCAAAAAGGAAGGAACTTCTAGGTGAGACTTCAAGAAAGGAAATGATTCAGTGGTCGGGGTGGGAGATATCTACAAGCAGATGGAGTTTCATATACTTAATTAAATCCGACTCCATTGTAAGGAAGGAGGTGCCGGGATCCAAGTTGAAAAAACAATATCAAATTGAGGAGGCTGTTTATGTGGGGGGCTTGGATAGAGAGGGACGGATCTGTCGCTCTCATTTTATTTTCTTGTCTCTGGTTCATATTACCCCATTTCCACTTCAGTCTGCAGTTTTTTAAAAGTCTGCATGAAAATATATATGCTGGTTTTTGTTTTTTGTTTAAAAAATCTTCTGTTTTTTTTTTAAACGGGTTGTAATCTATGCTAGTCCTACTCAGAATAGAACCATTACAATTAAAGTACAGGTAAGGTAAGTTTATTAATACAACCCAATGTTTTTATACATGCAGTTATTTTAACTCTGTGGGGGGGGAGTATAATGTTTTATATATGCAATTGTATAAGTTTTTATATGTGTGTACCTGTTTTATAAATGCTTTTATTATGTTGTGAATAGCCTTGGAATGCCTCATGGGAAGTGATTCATAAATGAAATAACAATAATAACGTTTTGTGCACATTTTTCTTAACATGAGGCATTCTTGGATGCTATTTTCATTTCTGTGCACGCTTCCCCCAATATGTGCATTTATTTTGGTTGGAGAACTGCTTCAGAAAATTCAGAGAAGTGCATTTCCTAGTAGCTGCTACTCAGAGGTTGCCACCTCTGGCAGTAGAGGCAGCACATAGCTTTATCCTTCATGAATCAGCCTCACCCCCTTTTCAAGCCATCCAAGCTAACAACCATAACCACATCCTGTGGCAGTGAGTTCCACAGTTTAGCAAGGTGTTGTGCAAAGAACGATTTGCGGCTGTCTGCTCTGAATCTTCCAATAAACAGTTTCATTGGCTTGTCCCAGGTTCTACTATTGTAAGCAAGGAAGAAAGTGTCTCTCTTTCGTCTTTCTGCGCACAGTATCAAAGTGGTGTCATCCCCAGGAACTCTCCAGATTCCTCCCTCCTTCTCCAGTACCCGATTCTCTTACCTGGAGATGTCAGGGGTTGAACATGGGACATTCTGTAACCCAAACATATGTTCTATACCACTGAGATATGATCCCTCCCTAAAGGCTATTCCTTTCTTCACTTAATTTCATTAACAGTATTTACCGTATTTTTCGCTCCATAGGGCAAACCGGACCATAGGGCACACCTAGTTTTTAGGGGGGGAAATAAAGAAAAAAAATTTATTTCCCCCCCAGCCCCAAAGAGCAAAGAAGCCAAGACAGCGAGCGGGATCCATCCCGCTCGCTGTCTTGGCTTCCTTTTTAGCCGCGGGGCTGGGGCGGGGGAAGCCCAAGCTTCCCCCAACCCCAGCCCCCAGAACGGGTCTGGGAGCGGGGGCGAGGTTGCGCACAACCTCGCCTTCACTCCCGGAGCTTGCTGCTATCCGCAAGCCTTCTGAGCCCGGCGGGAACTCCTGCCAGGCTCCGAAGGCTTGCGGATAGCTGCCTGATGCCCGGGGTGCGCAGCGGGAGTTGGACTCCCCGGGCTTCAGGCTTCAGGCTGCTATCCACAAGCCTTTGGAGCCCGGCGGGAACTCCCACCGCGCTCCGAAGGCTTGCGGATAGCTACCTGAAGCCTGGAGAGCGAGAGGGGTCGGTACGCACCGACCCCTCTCATTCTCCAGGCTTCAGCGAAAGCCTGCATTTGCTCCATAGGACGCACACACATTTCCCCTTCATTTTTGGAGGGGGAAAAGTGTGTCCTATAGAGCGAGAAATACGGTATATACCACCCAACAGCTTGAGAATCCATCTCAAGAATAGGAAGAACCTTCTGACGGTAAGAGCTGCTTGATCGCAGAACGGACTACCGTGAAAAATGGTGGATTCTCCTTCATTGGAGATTTCAAACACAGTTTGTACGGCCATGTTTCAAGGATTATTTAGCTGTGATTCCTGCATTGCAAGGGGTTGCACTGGATGACCTTGAGGTCCCTTCCAGCTCTACAGATCTGTGATTTTAAGCCTGCCTCTTGCTTTGACATAACATGCTTTCCCTCTGCCCCACTGGGTAGAAGGCAGAGCAGCTTCCAAAACAAAGCCTCACAATTTCTGCCAGTACAAACTTCCTCCTCCTCCTCCATCCCTCCAATGGTATGACGTCTTTCCATTTAAGCCCTCAAGTCTGTTTTAGTGATGTTCTCAGCCTCTCAGCAAAGCAGCTTGGGTCAAACACAGAGATAGATAGATATCCCATCTCTGGGGACGCCTCCCCAGAGAGGCGTCCAATCGCCTGGTGCATGCATAAGAAGGGAGGGGTATCTCATATATACCATGGAATAAAGAGGCACACTTGGAATTGCAATCATGGGAAAGGCCATATGATGAATGTTAAAACAGGGCAACCTGGAAGAACATAGGAGAAGCAGCTGCAGGAATGCAGAGCAAAAGCACATTTCTCCAGATGTGGCTTCAAGCTGTCTTTCTCATCACCACCTGTTGGACTTTAGCCTCCTGCTTTACAACAACATGGAAGTGGAAGCATCCATCCCTGCGGTTGTGGGGCTGGCACTTCCTGGCCAGAGGTCTAGACTGGCACTGTGGGCAAGGCAAGTAGCCTATGGCTGCATTAATGCCAAGTTGTATAGCTTCAATGCTGTTCATACCATACAAAAGGCCCTCTCTGCAGCTAGGTACATACCAAAGACTTAAAGCACATGACTTTCCCCAAATAATCCTGAGAATTCTGGTTGGTTAAGGGCACTGGGAATCATAGCTCTGTGGGGGTAAACTACAGTTCCCAGGTGTGCATGCAGTCCAATAGTTATGGGACTGCCAGATGTGTCCATACAAACAGCTATCCATACATCCTGTGCAAATCAAGGAGGGCAGGTCCACCTCCTTCCCTGCTGGAAGTGGCAGGTTGTTCTCTTACTCCAGAGATCAGGTATAGGCAAACTCAGCCCTCCAGGTGTTTTGGGACTACAATTCCCATCGTCCCTGACCACTGGTCCTGTTAGCTAGGGATGATGGGAGTTGTAGTCTCAAAACATCTGGAGGGCCAAGTTTGCCTATGCCCGCTAGAGATGCTCTGTTACAACCAAACAGAAGTGTAATGTGAATTAAACGACAATGTAATGTTTCTGTTTCTGACAATTAAAGATTTTGTCTTTTTTGGCTGCCTGATCAGTGTCACACTATGCGGGGCTTTTTTCCCCCAGGGGGAACTCACAGGAATTCAGTTCCAGCATGTCTCTGGTGGGTGCCACTGCCACGCTAAGAGAATGAGGGAGGTGTTCATGGTGAGTTCCAGCACCTCTTTTTATAGAAAAAGAGCACTGTGTAAATGTATATCCAAATTTCTTGAACACAGTGACACCAGGTGGCAAAGACCAAAATGGCTACCCTCTTATGACCAGACATGAACCACTTGATCTTTCAGCTGAAAAGGCAGGAACAAAATAATTCCCCCGATGAAATCATGGGACTCAAAAGGCAGTATGTGCACCGTGGTGGCTGGCTGTGATTTGAGATCATGGCAAAAAACGGAATCTGAAAAACAGGAGCAGCAGTATGTCTGAGCAGATATTGTGGAACCTTAATGTGCTATGATTAATGGCATGCTGAGAAATGTACAAGGATTAGTTATGTGCAATGCAACATAATTGGGTGGGCTGGATGCGAAGTCAGGGAACACCCAGATATGGGGTTCCAGATCCCATGCCAAGAATCATCTAGTCTAACCTTCTGCAATGCAGGAATTATAGCTCAACACTGCTAAAGAGTCCCTGACAGATGGCCATCCAACCTCTTTGTGGAAACCTCCAATGAAAGAGAGTCCATCACCTTCCAAGGGAGTCCATCTCTCTGTCGAACAGGTCTTGACGTCGGAAGTGCTCTACCACTGAGCTATGGCACACTGTTCCCTGGAGGGAAAACTGTCCTGGGGGAGGGGGCTTACTGGTTTGGTTACTGTGCAACTGAGGGGTTTTGGTGCCCAACCAAAGCTTTTTCGGCAACCAAGTGGCCAAACAATCGCTGGGCTTCCCATTAGCCTTGGATCTGAGGAAAGGGCATGGATCTCAGCGCTATTGCCAGGACAATCCCCACCCACTCAAATATGGAAGCCTACATGTAAACGTTCTCCAGAGGAGAAGAAGAAGATGATTTTGGATTTGACATCCTGCTTTATCACTACCCGAAGGAGTCTCAAAGCGGCTAACATTCTCCTTTCCCTTCCTCCCCCACAACAAACACTCTGTGAGGTGAGTGGGGCTGAGAGTGTGACTGCCCCAAGGTCACCCAGCAGCTGCATGTGGAGGAGCGGGGAAGCGAACCTGGTTCACCAGATTACGAGTCCACCGCTCTTAACCACTACACCGCACTGGCTCTCAGAGGAGCAAAGCAAAAGCTGTAGGGGGGCTTATTTCCATCAGGAACCCGAGGCAGATGGAAAGAGTAAAACAACAACTTCTACTTTCCTCTTTCAGTGTTGCAGTCCTAATTGAAATCACACACACACACACACACACACACACACACTCCTGCACGTTACACAAAAATATAAATGCTTTCCATCTAGTTTGGTGCCAATTTCTTAGAGGAATGCTCCTTCTGTGATGTCACAGCATTGTACCATACAGATTGGTCGTGGGTTAACTACGCATCGTTAAAAAGAGGGGAAAGCACATTGCTAAATAAAAAAC